GGTCACTGTCTTTCTTATGCCGAGGGCTCCAGAGCTGGAGGCAGTGCTCCAGGTGGGGTCTCACCAGAGCAGAGCAGAGGGGCAGAATCCCCTCCCTCGGCCTGCTGGCCGTGCTGCTTGTGGTGCAGCCCAGGATTCGCTTGGCTTTGTAGGCTGCCAGCGCACATTGCTGGCTCATGTCCAATTTGTCACCCATCAGGATCCCCGAGTCCTTCTCGGCAGGGCTGCTCTCCATCCATCCCCCAGTCTGTACTGATAGTGCAGATTGCCCTGACTCGGGTGCAGGACCTTGCACTTGACCTTGTTGAACTTGAGCTTCTCATGGGCCTGCTCCTTCTCCAAGATCAAGGTCTTCTCCTCTCTCCAGGCGCCACAGTGCCAAGGGCTGACAAGGGTGGCATTTTCTGCCCTGTCCCATTCCTCTGCGCTCCCCTGGCCGAGAACAGGGCCATGCTGGAGGTGGTGTGCCCTGGGCGGGGATGTGGGGCTCCTGGGGCTTCACCCTGCTGGCGCCAGGGAGGACACTGGGGGGGGGAACACCCTGCTCTGTCTCTGCAGGGGAAGCAGAAGTACACCCTGCCCCTCTACCGCGCCATGTGGGGTGGGTCGGAGTCAGCCCGGGCCCTGGCCATGGAGACCTTCTCGGCTACAGCCCCCCAGCTCCACGTGAATGTCCAGAACTACATCAAGAAGATCCTGGGCTTGGAGGTGGCAGAGGACTAGAGCAGCCTGGGCTCTGCTCCCTCTGCAGGCTTTCCCCCTGGCAGGACCTCAGCACGCTCTCCCTCACTGCACGTTTCTTTATTAAAATTTGTAATTTTTCTCTTTTTTGTGCTTTTCCTGTTCCCAGCAACCCAGGGGCAGCCTTAGCGTAACGCCCTGCTCCTCCTGCCCAGGAACCGGACTGGTGCCCCGGGAGGGGACTCTGCCAGCCCTGGTCTCGGATGTGCAGGTCACTCCAGGACGCTGGTGGCTTCTCCTGGTGTTGGCACAGGAGGGATGGGCCTGGAGCAGCTGAAGGAGATCCTGATCTGCACCGGGGTCTGGTCCCTGCGGGGCTCCTGCCATGTTGTGACAGGTCCC